CGGTGTTGGAACAGGCACCGCCAACGCCGGAAGTCGAAGAGCGGCGAACGGAAGACCAAATCCTGGTGGAACGCGACGACGACCCGGTCACGAGACGTTGGTCTTCCGACAGGAACGTTCCGTGGATTTCGGAATCCGAAACTGGAAACGCGGACACAAAGCCGCAAGCAAAGGTACGTCGCCGCAGTCTCTGGAGCCGAACAAAACTGTTTTTGGGCCGCATGTTTTGTTGTGGCGCCAACTTGTCCGATGAGTAAGTTCTGATATGTCAGGACTCATGACGTAATAGACCCAGTGTTATACTTGGCTGCGGCCAGACGACACCCGTTCACTTGCGGTACACGGTATCTGAAATTTGAAGAAAGTACGCTTACCTTACCGCTGAAATTATAAAAAAATGTTTTTGTTGATTTGCATAAATAAACGATTTGTAATGTTATACTTTATTGGTTTTTATTTTAAATAGTATTTTATTTATTACAAGATAGGTACTTTTAAACGCGTCAACACGAAATATCTAGTGTTTGAAAATTTCATGAAATTTAAAAAAATTAAATATTTCAAATGTGTGAAATATTTCAGTATTTTAATACATTTTGTTTTATTTTTAAATAAGTTTTATATTTACATATAATTGTCATAAATTACCTCCATAATTGTATGGCACCGAAATATAAACCTAACCGTTGGTATTATACATTTAAAATAGTATCCAACATGTATACTTGAATACATGTATATTGTATACCTACTGAATTCTTACATTAGAATTTAGAACACTGAACATTGTGTTAAAAAAATAAATAAATTGTATTTTTATTTGTGTTAAAAAAAATTGCAATGTTCCACGTTTTTGTGAAATATTTCATACTTCAAACATTAGCTATACCTAGTGTAAATTAATTTATGTGTCTTGTGAAAATGGTAACTTAATTGCTTTCAGTTTATTAAGTATAGTGAAACCTCTAAATACCGGACCATCTCAGTCACTGACATTTTTTCCACTATTTAATGTATAAGTATCAGCTCTTAAATTTTTTGGTAATGTTATATCCTTGTATAATATATGTCACACGAAATAAGTACTTATAATACAACACCAACACGTAAATATATTTATTCATTTATATGTGGCAATCCACTATTTCCATACATATATATTTGACATGTTTTTAAATTTTGTAGTGGAAGGATTGTCGAGCGAATTTCAAAACTAATCTAGAAAGTTTATATTGTCATTAGATACAATTTTTCAAAAATATAAAATTTTATTTTTTTAACAGGAAACGGGATAGAAAATCATTTTTTAAGTGCCGTTTATGTTGCATAGATTTTGAAGGAGAAGGAATTTATTGCGACCATCCAAATTGGGATTCATGTAAATGGCGATCTTGAAATATTTAAAATTATATTTTAACTATGTAAATATTTACCCAGGATTTTGTGATGGCGCTCAGTCCAGAAAATCGGTGGGAAACCAGATCCAATATACGACTCTAAACCTTATTTATTTGATTCAACTTACGTTGCACCACTAATTGAATCAAATTAAAAATAGCATGCTTTAATTTGGACAGCCAGAAAACCTTTTATAATGTAGCATGAAAGTAAGAATAATATAGCACGCGCTACGTATGCCTAAAAATTTACTACCAATAAGGACCACGCGCAATCGTAAGATACCTGCTACAATAAACTTCATCAAAAAACATAACCCCAAAATAATAATTATAATATGTTATATAGACAATTACTTATTTTAATACCTATTTGTTTTTCTATTTTTTCTCAAACTATGTAGATTACATATAATATATACATTTCTTAGCAATTAAGTCTATAATATGTTATGTTTTTGGCTGATTCCAATGGGCAATGATGCCTCGAGTTAATAAATAATTAAGTAGTTAATAGTTAATAATATAATAGTAAAAATGTATTTATAATATTATAATGTATCGATTATGTAATCACTTCATATAATGCGGATACATAATGTCGCAAACAAACGCAACGTATTTTTGTCAAAATAATAATATTAGTTAATTTGGTTTCAAGACTAGTTTCCTCATGACGTCAAAACAATCATTTAATAGATCACAGCCATCAAGTGGTAGGTTTACAAACTTTGCATCTCTAGCTCCAAGCGGCATTATAGGTACGAAATAGGTCAATACTCGAGGGAGTCGCGATTCGTGGCACAGAAGAGGAAAACAAATTAATATAATAATGATGATGTCATTTATTACATTAGTACGATAATAAAAACGAGAACTAAATAGTTAAATGGTGTTATCGGTGACACCTGTTGCATTCGGAAGATCAGTTGTTAATGGCGTATTATGTTTATTATCAAGACGTCATTATTCGAGGCGTCAAAAAAAACGTCTTAATTCAATTTTTTTTTTAGACCAGAAGCTTCTATACTACCAATCTCAGAGACAGAGCAGTGGTAGGGATTTGAGAAAAATAAATTCCAGAAGATTATGAAATCACATTGAAATATGGATTTATAATCGTTAAACTATTTTATTTTATTGAATCGCTGGATTTAATCACGGGGGATTTATTTCACTATAATATATACTTGTAGGCGGTTGACAGTTTGACCCATTCAACTTACGCCATGTCACTATCATTTTTTTTTATATACCTAATCGTCAAGTCTTCAAGAAGATAATAGACCCCTCGTGTGAGGAGGGCGGGGCATGAGTTAAAAATTTGAAATATAAGTTCATTAAATATTTAATACAGTCAAATAATAATTACAAGACATTAAAAAACAGTACACAAATATGAAATAATGCCGCGAATCAACAGTAAGTTATCGATTAATATTCATTATTTTACCAACCTACAGCATTTTATATATTATAATATATTTCTACCAACACAATAATAATATGAACATAAAATAAATACATTATTATGTGCACGATTCGAAAAGACGACCCCATAATATAATATATAACAGTTAATTTATTAACGCAAAGATTACATTAGTATTCCCTATTATTATAGTTTGGAAAAGTAATTTTTGTCGAAACGAGCGTATAATATAATACCAAAACAATATAATATACGAAACACCACTCTGTACATACGTAATGACAACAATAAATTACAATATATAGGTACACGTCTCGGCTCGTCGGTCTACATATACATATTATATACTTAGGCGTTTCGGTGATGCTGCGCAGCAATCGGACGCGCCGCGATATAATACGTATTGGGATTTAGTTGCTTGCGAGTTTGGAGGGCATGATGTAAATTAGACACTCTCTGGTGACCGACTGTTGAAAAGTCCCTTCCATTAATTCCACGGCCGACCACATATATATATATACACTCGTACACAGACGGTTTTGAATACCAATGACGTAGTCGGTACGCGTATATACTACTATTGCAGGAGGTACCTTCTGCACCTTACCCGCGAATATACACCGAAAATCGATTAATAATAATATAATATATTAATATGTACATTTCTTCGAGAATTGCACGGGGACGAGACGCTGCCCACCCGAGACGGCCCCTAACGTAGTGCGTATATAAGATAATAATATTAAATAGGTACAAGGCACAGATCGCAACAACGCCGCCGCCGGTGGGAGGGGGTTATCCTCCACTGCAGCATTATAATGCCCACGACGCTTTGGTTTTTTGAATCTAAATTACTTGTTTGTCAATAATAATTGCATTCCGACGTATTTTAATAACACAATATGTTAATCTCGGGTATTTTTTTTTCGGGTTTTCTCCGGCTTCCGGACCCGAGCAATCTGTTTCCGTCGCTCGTAAGTCACCCGGGAAATAATCGGCAGGAATGTGCCGAATAATATACCCTTACTGTTTATATACCTACAGGAATTACCGAGAGAGTTGAGTACCGCGCGAAATCGCTCACCTCGCGCTCTGTACCCTGCATAGTGAGTATTTTAAAGGTAAACCGTAAACGCTCAATCGTCTTCTAGAAAATTATTGACTTTTTATAGAAACATTTTTTTTCACTGTTTGAATTTTCGTTGCGAAATAAAAATAATTTTGAAAAAAATAATATTTTCATAATTTAATTTTTTGTTATATTTGGTTTATTTGGTTTATTTATATGAAGTAGAAAAGTAAACCGACATTCTTAGAGGTATCTCTATGGCACACTGACACTCCATTCAGCTCATCGAACTTTGAATACCTAAGTATAATAGCTGTGCGTACTATTAATTATCATACCAATCAAATAATATAGGTATTCGTTTGGAAATTGGAATTCTATTTTTATATATTGAAAAGTGATCTGCATAGTCGGATAGGAAAAATAAAATGTAGAATTTCGTTCAAGTAAGTAAAAAATTTAACAAAACAATAATAGTACAAATGGTGACCTGTCAAAATATCTTCGAAATAATATCTTTAGTCAAAATATCTTGTGGCAAAATATCTTAGGGCAAAAATGTCTTTAGTCAAAATATTTTTTAAGCTAATTTTTTTATTTATATTCATGTAATCAATTAATCTCTATATACTCAAATATACGTCGGAAGACCTCCGGCGGTATGTATTGTGCATCCGAACTTCCATATTATTGTTTTTGACTTTGTATAAATAAAATATTATTTCGGTAGTGCTATCGGCGCTATCACCGTGCGAACCGTTGCATTACACAGGTATTATTATTTCATATCATTATATCTCCGATCGACATTGTATATCTTTATATTATTGCTAAAACTGGCCGGTGATCCCCGTCAAAACGTCACTATAGGTATTGTCTACGTCAAGGGTGCCCAATTTATTTTGGAAGCGGGCTATAATTGCAATAACATTTAGCTGGCGGGCCATGTTATGAACAAGACTTGCTTACACTTATAGTTCATCTAAAATTCTATTTTCAATAGATACTTAATTAGATAGGACAGATAGGTATTTAAGTTAAAAAAACATTTTAAATTTCACATGTTTTAATTTTAATTTTTAATAATATTTAAAAAAAAACATCAGTGAGATCTATGAAGAGACTTATTAGCTAATAATTTTTCAATATCTGGTGATAAATCTGATGTTGATAACAACATCAAATCTGAAATATGAGGCGCAGTTAACGAACTACGATATTTATTTTTGATGTAGGTTAGAGTAGAAAAAGCTTTTTCGCAAATATATGTTGATCCAAATCTGCTTGAAATCTGCAAGGCAAGATCACACGTTGCAGGAAAGTCTTCTTTTGGTACTAATTTCCAAAATTTTATTAAATTTTCTGAAGACTGCAGCTGTGGTTGTGATGATACAATTTCGGTAAATATCTGCTTCAAGGAAACGTGGTTTTGAATTTCTGTGATTTCCAACTGGATATTGCATGAATATTTTTGTATTTCACTAAATGTGATTGAAAATGGGTTCATGAAAAACAAAATGTTATTTTGTCCTTCTCAAAATCCTGAAATCTATTCTCAAAAGACTGCAACAATAATTGACTACCAAACCTCGTCACCGAAAAACCCGATAACATTGCTGTGTGGAATGGTCCTAGTGCTAATTTGATACACACACGTATATAAAATAAAAAAAAAATGAAAAAAAAATAAAATAAAAAATATACAACAAAATTTAAACTTTAAAGAAATATTAATAATAATTTAAAATGCTATAGAAGTATAGAGTATAGTCGTATAGATGTTGGCGGGCAAATCCAAAAGCGTTGACGGGCCACGAAGGGGCCCGCGGGCCTGGGTTTGGGCACGCTTGGTCTACGTATACATATTATGCCATCAAGATAAAAATGGTAGAAGGCTTATCGGCTTTTATACATTTTAGCAGGTTTATGTATTATGTGTATTAGTTTTGTCATAACAGTATTACTTGTCAACTGCTGAACTTGGCTTTTGATTTTCTGTCTGAAATATGACTCTTACTTTCATTAAAAGCCAAAAAAGTAATAACTTATTAGTACAAAATGGATATCTCCATATTTTTTATAGTTATGGTAAAAACAAATATATTTGGCGGTGTACCGAGTATAGTAAATATAAATGCAGTTCGTGTTTTACAAGTAGCAAAGATGAAACAGGTAATTATTGATTTAAATATTTATTTCAAAATTATTGATGATTGTATTATATAAATATCATAATATTATTATTTATTATATTATTTATAGGCACAATACTCAAGGAATCAAGTCATTTACATGCACCAAATGGTGCCAATATTAAAGTTAGAGAAATTTTGGAAAAGATTAAAGATGATGCAAAATGTAATCAAGTGTCCACAAGGAATTTAATTAGTGAAGCTGTTACTACTGTTCCACTAGTTGTTGCTGCTCAATTACCAAGTCAATCACTGATTTCTCGAACAATCCGTAGAGTAAGATCCAAAGATGAAGTTTGTCCTCAAAACCCATTAACAGTTAACGATTTAAATATAACACTCGAATAACAGTTAGTTAATAATAAACAATTTTTACTTTACGACAATAAGAACGAAAAAAGAATTTTGATTTGTTCCACGATTGATAATTTAAAAATACTTAAAAACTGTAATATTTGGATGGCAGATGGGACATTTCGGACAGTTCCAAAATTGTTTTCACAATTATATACCATACACGTCTGTTATAACCAAACAACTTATCCGGTTGTTTACGTATTAATGACTGATCGTACAAAACAATCGTATATAGAAATTTTAAATGTTTTAAAAAGATTTGAACCGGATTTGAATCCAAGCAGCATTATGATTGATTTCGAACAATCATTTATATTAGCATTTAAAGACGTGTTTCCCAATTCGGAAATAAAAGGATGTTTTTTCCATTTCCAACAATGTATCTGGCGTAGTGGAGTAAAATACAAGAAAATGGACTACAAAATATGTAATCTGAAGATGCAGAATTCTCATTACAAATTCGACATCTATGTGCACTTGCTTATGTTCCAATGAATAAAAGTGTACAATATTTCAATGATTTAATTGAATCAAATTATTATGTTGAAAATGAAAATATTTCATCTCCGATGATCAACTATTTTGAAGACACGTGGATAGGACGTCCCAACCGTCGAAATGGTCGACGCCCGCCAATGTTTAGTGTCAATATGTGGAATTGCTATGAATCGGTAATACAAGATCTTCCACGTACAAATAATTCGGTAGAAGGATGGCACCATGCATTCAATGCAGCACTCGGAGCAAATCACGTTTCAATATGGAAATTCATACGCTTCTTAAAACATGAGCAAGTGTTACAGTTACAAGAGGTATTTATATATTTCATATTATTTTATTTATTTATTTAATTACAAATGGAATAATTACGTGATATCAGGTTCGATTGGAAAAACGTTTATCTGGAGAAGCAAGTCCAACACGTCGTAGAAAGTACAGAGATCATGATAAAAAAATAAAAGCAATCGTGGAAAATTGCTCTGAAATACCAACAGTTCAATATCTAAGAGGTTCATCTTATAATGTTCAATATTAACTAATCACTAATTTTAATTTAAATAATTAATTTTTCAACTATAATTTTTTCTATGTTTTTTTTACAATAATATTTTTATAAGGATCATACTAATTACTAACACTATATTATTAAACAATTATTATAAATAATGTTGTACACGATATATTTATAAAAATAAAATAAATAAATAATATGAATAAATATTTTTAAAAAATCAGTTTAAAAGATATTTTAACCGAATACATTTTTGTCATAAGATATTTTCACAAAAGATATTTTGATCAAGATATTGACCGAAGATATTATTTCAAAGATATTATGTAAGTGCTTAGTACCTAAGCGAAATACCCCATTTTACATGATATAATATCAATGTGGTATGATGTGTTATTACCACAAATACGACGTGCGCACGGGGCTGGGACAGAGGGTAAATAAAAATACAATTGTGAACCCATTCTAAGTCCGCTGCAGGTGAATCAGAAATAGGACGCATACCGCTGAGCTTTTATAATTTAAATTATTATTATAATGTACAGTCTACTTTATATTTGAACACTATTGTGTCGTATAATACCTACACAAAGTTGTTTGCGCTGCATTGTGTAGCCATCACGTTAAAAACATAATCTACTTCGATTTACTCGATTTGGTGTACACATGTGCACAACATACAATTCATTGTTGTTATTCGCTGCTCCAAAAAAAAAAAAAAAAGTGAAGGCTCGCTGGTGAGTTGCTACTGCAGCTTTGACCATATTATACTATGCAGCAGTGGCGCAACCAGGAATTTTTTATGGGGGGGGGGGGGGGGGTCTGACAAAATAAATCATCTATCTTAATTATATAAACAATATTGAATATACCTATGTTTAATATACCTACTATTATACGTGTCGAGGGGGGGGGTCCAGACCCGGAGTCCACCCCCCTGGTTGCGCCACTGCTATGCAGCTTTTAGGAACAAAATATGTACAGTTGAAACTAGATATTAACAGATGGTATAAGTAAAGTTATACACTGGATAACAAGGTATACACTGCACAGTCCACAAACACAATTAATTACAATTAATTTAACAGATGATATAAATACACTTTAGTCTTTAAATCATAACATGAAATATAGTGATTGGCCAGATACGAAAACGTATAAATTATTATTGGCTACCGACATCACCCTTCCTAGAGGTCGCAGGGGCTCATTGGTTTTGGGGGGAGGGGGAGGAGAGTGCAGAGTGTGAATTCAAACCAATTTTTAAACGACTACTTACTTACCAGCCAAAAATAAATTATAAGTGCCTGTATACCTAAAGTGTAATAAATAAAATATTCAGTATCTTTTTTAATAAAATGACGATGGAGTTTCATTTCAAAATCTTTTCTATATTATTTTCAGAAAAAAGCATGGACGTGTTTAAAATGTTCGAAGTTTTTGATGAGTCAAGATTTTAGTGTTTTGGTCTTTGTGTCGCACGATTCCAAGCATACGATTACCTATTTGTAACGCGAATTGCTCATTCAATTTAATTAATTAGAAGACGTTTAGAAAGGGACACACGCCTAACGTTATAAATATGTGGTTGCAGGAAGCAGATATAATCTGGACGATAAATATTGATAAACGGTATAGGCTAACCCGGAATTCTATATAATATAGTGTACTTACCATGCAAGTCCGGCGTCGTCCAAAAGTTTTCCTCGGAATTTCGCACTACGCAGGGGGGACGTTTTCATTTATTCCTCCTCCTCTCGTTGAACATAAATATTTCTGAAGTATGAAAATTAATACCATGCTAAATATATTAATCAACTCGGATAGTTTTAAACAAAACGAAAACGCGATGTAATAATGCTGCAGTACACCCTTTGAGTGCCATAGACGCATATATGCGTTCATAGGTCAGTGTTCTTCCAGGGCCATAGACGCATATATGCGCCTTTGCTCTTTTAAAATCAACAACAGCTGTTATAAACACTAAAATGATACCAGTAAATCATAAATTCAAAGACCAATCCAAGGACGCTTACAGAAAATATTTCGGAATAATACGAAAAAAGTTATAAGTGAATTAATATTTTCATTTTTCCATGGTCTACCAAAATATATATATATTTTTTTTATCATATCATCATCATATCACAATCACACCGTCGTATTACGTAGTCGTTATGTTTAATTTTTTTTGTTTGAGACGTACGTAAATAATTATTATTATTCAAACTGCTAATTATCGCATATTCACATTCGTTAATTACATTTTGAGAACCAAAGGCCCCATTATTGTTCTAGATGGCCAATAACTTTGAACAAATTGGTCCAAACATTTTTTTTTTTTTTAGTTAGTAAATTATGTAATCCATAAGAATAATAAAATAATAGAATATAAAAAAATAATTCGGTTCAGGTGTTCCTGGCCAAAATTAATTTGGCACTCAAAGGGAGGCCGCAAATATGGAGAATGTATTACAATGTTTTCTATTTTTAATTTGGTGCCACTGAAAAACTATATGGCTATCACGTCTTGTATTTTGCGATATTCATTTTCCATCCAATATCTAAGTATATAGGTACTATATTATAGATTAATAGATTATATTATATATTCGTATAATCGTATATATTATATACATTTAAGTAATAGACGATACTGCAGAAGTCATTTCATATATATATATATATGATATCGCAAGTAATATTTTTGAAATTAATTAAACCACAAACATCCCGAGAAAATCAATTAGGGGTTGTTCATATACGTATATGGATCTGTGTATGGTTTATACTAAGGTAATACTATAATATTATATACAATATGGCAAATGGTTTAGCCTATATGATGCATCCAATGAAAGCCGTTTGTGTTTGACAGATACCTTTGATGTCTTGCCTTACAGTGCAATTATTATTATTATACCCATAAAGTAATATTGGCTTCAA